TGATATATACATATATAGATATATATATATACACACACACATTATATATATATATATATATACATATAAATATATATATATATATATATATATATATTTCCATATACATTTAGGAATATGTCTCTTTCTGCAACATCCAGCCGACCCTGCTCGACTCCCTGAGACACCCCGAACCACGACATCAACCCGAGCTGAGCCAGGCATCTGGGTTGTCTTCGTTTTCTCAAAGGTCGAGCCATATGTTCGCGCCGCTTCCTGAACATTGAATGCATGAAGCTTGTGGAGAGCACCTGCTCTTGTGGTCTCTAGCTTCAGACCACTGTTGCTGCAACGCTGTTGCGCTTCACTTTCCGAGCTCTGACCACTTCGAATGTTCGCGAAATGTTCTGCTGGATTTGTAGAAACCCGGGCGACACGGCTTCACAAGAGTGAAAAAGCGGAACTAGCCTGACCCCGACGCGGAGAAAGCTCAAGAACCTCGTGCTGTAGTGACCACTCCAAGTTGCGAAGCCATCTGGCGATTCCCCTCTCAAACGCAGTCATGGCTTCAGCTCAAAACCACCGGGCGCAGCCTTTGTTGCCAAGGATCTAGTTGCGCCCAAGAAGGCACTGGCAGTCGAACGAGCTGGGTCAGGAGACGTGTCTCCTGAGCTCACTTTGCACGTACCCCCTTGAGCCTCGGGAAGCTCCCCCTCTCTCTTCGCATTTGTAACGCAAAGACAGGCAACTCGAGCAACGCAGCAACCGCTAACGGAGCTGCTGCACAGTGTCGTAGCTCTTGGCCGTGACGGAAGCATGCATGGAGAACCAGACCTGGCAAAAACAAAAACTTCTCGAGGACCAGCCAATCAAGGCTGCGAATCCAGCTCAGCCTCCTTTCGGAAGGCGTGGGGTCGTTTCGGTTAACTTCTCTCTTTTGACTGAGCGAAAACTGTTTTTTGGGCCTGCCGAATGCAGCCAGGCAGCAGACATCAGCAAGTACATGAAGGCACCTGGCAACGGCATTCGGCATCTGAAGACGTTGCTGGAGCCGTCAGCGGCTCAGCACTCACGAGCCTGCCAGCGATAGCGTGTGGCAGCCCACGAGCCAGGTTGGGGTTCCTGAGCAATACAGCTCCGACATCCACTTCGCATGAGAAGCTCGGAAGGTGTTGCGCAATATTGCCATCTAGGGGATTACTTTCCGAGACAATGCACTCCGGAGCTAGGGGGGAATGGAGGAGGCAGAGAAGCTGGCTGGCTCTTTGGATCGTTGCTGGCAGGATCAATTGCGCTGCATCTCCGGGTGCCAAGTGTCCGCTGGCCAGGCGGCCTTCACAGAAGGCCATGACCGTGAAGCCTGCACAGCCGAGTCGAAGCCGATTGGGGTGTGGGTGGCCCTGCAGCCGCGGGGAAAGTGCTTGGTCCATGTTCTTGGAAGTTGCTCGCGGCCTAACTGCACAGCATTCACGATCAGGTAAGTGTCCATTTTCACCTCGGGTAAAGCTCGTGCCCGCAACTAGGGCACCCGGACGGGATGACCAGCTCGGACTACCGCTATAACAGCCCTGCAAAAGCAAGCCCATGCATCGGCAGGTTTACTGCAGTCGCCGGTTTGTCTGAAGAACAACTGGAAGCAGACGGCTTCTCTACCCCGAAATGCTTCAGGTCAAGCGTAAAATACCTTTTTGTTGATGTCCACTCTTTGTGCCTAGAGGCTGAGGTCAGGCCGATGATGTCTCGGACATCTTCTCGCCAAAGCTCTGCCTGCTTTATTCTGAAGTCCATAATCCTCGGTCTCAGTCGTGCCATTTAGGGCCGTGGGCATTGATAGCAAGATTGACACCAGACGGCAAGCAATTGGCAAGCAATGGTAAGGCTCAACCTAAACTCTGCCAAGTGGCTGGTACTCCGTTTCCTGTGCCGCTCAGAAATCTGGTTTCGCACTAGCTGGCTGCTCGTAAGTACCCAATGCGAGAGCATTACAGCACAACATCGGCACTGACGAACCCACGTATCCCCACACATCCCGCCAACCTGGCGCATCTTCCTGTCATAGAGATAGTTTTCTCCTCATGCACGGTGCAGTCTGCATGAGGTCAAGTCGGTTCGCCCAGCCGATGCAGCTTCCTCAATCTTCAAGCCCGACAGCCCCAACCACCCAAGCCGAGCCCCGCACGATTGTAGCCGAAGAGCGTCCCTCCAGCGCCCGCCGCTGTGGCAACGCCTGCAGGCCAGATGCTCTTGGGTGCTCATTTATCCAGGCTCCTGGTGGCGTTCTGAAATGCTTCGCCGCAATATGCAAACTATGTTATCCATTCTTCTGGAAGAGGTTCATCTTACAAAGATTACACTGATTACACTTGACTATGCCCTTATCGACGAAGTCTCTGCACATTTCTAGAGTAAGCCGCGATACATATTATGATTATTAGAATTTGCAAATCAACGAGCTTCTCCATGCCTTCCAAAATCTTCTAAACTGCACATTCTGACCGCCAAGGCTTGACTCAAGTCACATCTAAATCGGAATTTGTAAGAGCAGAAGCAAACGCTGCACACCTGCCGCGGCGAGGAGCGGCATGGCCGTGAGGTTGGCAAAGGGCAGTTGGGTATGACCTGCGCGAGGCCAAGCAATGACGAGCCGAAGCGAGTCTGGACCGAATCCGGACGTGGCAATCTCAGCGTCACAGAGCGTCTGAGCAAGCCCTAACGGGGCACAGCTGGCAACTTCCACACTGGGATCCGCATGGTCAGAGTTTGGTGGCAAAGACCGGCACCCTGGAGCAGCCTTTGCTGTGCCGAGGTGCATTAACAGTGGAAAATCCGTGTATTAACTGGATCCATAAAACAAAATTCGTGTATTGACAGATCCATAACCTCAGCCTCCGCGTTTCAACTGCGACCAGAGAGAGACCGCCTATGTGACATGATGTCCGGAAACGGGGCTGCACCGAAACCGACAACCGCGAGGATGCTACATTCGAAGAAACATCATGACATGGTCGGATGGAGGCAAAGACCAGGAGATCACGCCGCATTGGGACGGGGCCTGCTCTGTTGCTACAACAGGTATCACTGCTTTGAGCATAAAGGTGGTTCCACTTAGTGGAACCCCAGAAGCCAGTTCTGGACCGACAGGGCAGCACTGTAAGCACAGTGTGTCCGGGCCGGCCGGTCCCGGCCGCCTCCACCTGGCTGTGAGAGTTTCGCAGCAATCGCGCAACCCCAATCACAAAGACAACCATCCCAAAACAAACTGTCTGTCTATCGAGCTGCTCAAGCACTGCTTCTGCCCTCAACTGCTGTGCATCTCCGTCTCCGCAACCTAAGGACCTAAGGCTGAGAAAGGTCAGCCTCTCAGGCTCAATGTCGACTGTGCGAAATCCCCCGCGAGCCGGGATTGCCCGATCAGGTCAGAAGCGGGGGTGCAGGGCCATCATGGACTCCTTCTGCATCACAGCCTCAGACCTCACACAGCAAACCACAGTCGAGCCCCGATGCCTCAAGTACACCACCGGCAGAAAAGAAACTCATCTCCAGTCTTATTTACGGCCAAGACAAATCCCTTCAGACCAGATAGTCAGACAAGGAGTTTTCATCTGCAATCCACGTAAGCTGCACCCAAGCGTCGTCGATGACTTTTGCCAGGCGGAGAATTGCGGATTGACTCTTTCGGGCAGCCCGAAAGTTTGGTACAATCGCTGGCCTCGGCTCAGGTCCAGCCGTCTCGGCGAGAGCAAAGCCCCGATACCCAACTTGACAGAAGATACTAGCACAACGACAAGATCTCAGAAGCCCAGTGCTTTTTCAACAGCAGTAGCAGAAAATGCCTTGCACAACCAGGTCACTGAAGTCTTGAGGGTCCTGGCCTGGGCCGTGCAATCCGATCGGTGCGGTTGGAGGTGAGGTCGTCTGTAGCCACAACTACCGGTACTCTTGCACATCTGCTCACCCGTTCTAGCATCAGACGATCACAGCGAAAGAGGCAAAGTCTGCAAACTGACCGAACTGCAGTTGCAAGAAGCGTTTCCCTCACACACACTATGTCTCCTTGCCAAGGAGCCGTACATCTCTGCCAGTCTTTCGATTGCGCGGAGCCCCTCTTCGTCTTCTTCAACCTCGACGTTTCTTCACTTCCCTTGTGCGACACCCACACCGAAGCGAACTGTCCAGGTTCTGTTCTGAGAAGATTCTACCCTGGGCCTTTCTAGCATGTGTCGTCCCAAGGTCCAAAACCGCCAATATGTGCCCGCCGGATGACAAAAAGAGGAGACGAGCACGTCCCAGTCCCGAATCTCCTGTGGCTGCTGCAACGGTCATTGTTTCTGTGACCCAAAGATAAATGTAGTTGCCAGAACAGCACAACATCTCGTATCCAGTTGGGCTCGTTCCTGCTGCTGACGGCCAGCTCTGCACAACTTGCCGGCTCTCCTGAACAATATTCTCCCAGGCTCTGGGTCCTCTGAGATGAGCTGTGTCTCCTTGCCCGATTACAGCACACTGACAACGCAGAATGTGCTGCAATCGTATTTTGGAGAAAGACGACAAAGCAACAAGCTCTTTAAGAATCCTGGAAGTCTACAGCTTGCCCAAGCAGTCGCACAGCTCCTCCGCCACCGGCATGAACCCGCTCCGCGAGGTGGACAACCGGCGTGCGAAGCTGCTCCTTACAATGCATGACGAAGCAAGCATCGGTGTAGTCTGCGGGCATCCAAACTGCGTTCTGGCAAATACAATCGAGCACACCATGAAGAGACGATAGTTATGCAAGCTCGGCACGGGATCGAACACTCAAGCAAGCGACAAGCGACAAGCCTCCGCCATGCGCAACGGAACATACCGCTTAAGCATCCTTCAACACTGGACTTCCAGGCGTTTCCGACTGACAAAAGATCATTGCAAACAGTTCCTGGGCAGGTCATCTGTATCAGAAAGCAGCCAAGCACACCGCAGCAACAGCTCGAAAAGCCTCGTAAAATCTTTCCCGTGTTGGTCGGAGCCACGCTGCAGAGTCAGATTGCGAAAACCGAACGAGCCCGGTACACTTTAAACCGGGTAAGACCAAACCATTTCGCAGCAAGCTCAGATCCTAGCTGTGATTGCATGGCTGGTGCTGCTGTTTCAATCAGATTTGTTGCATCGCCTTGCAATGGCAAGGAAGCGCGCTAAGGCCAGCAGTGCCTCGCAACTCACATAGCATGGCGAAAGCACTGTGCGAAAAATGACGATGCCGTTCATCTGCAGTTGCTGGGCGTCGGAACGATTTCAGAATCGGTGCGTCAGCATGTTTGGCGGCGGGCACCGCAGCTTGGGTGACGGGTGTGTACTGCAACTTATCAGAAGTCGATTATCAGTGCGCCTGGTGACGCGTAAGGAAGATGTGCTGCAGGAGCTCAAACAGTGTGGCCAGAAGGCTCAGATCAAGGTAACTTTGGCCAAGTCACGCTGTCCGGTTGGACTCCGAACCCTGCCTGACTGATCCAGATTGAATTCGAGTAATGACTGACGCTCGCGCGTGCCGAACACAAGTAGAATGCAAACATCATCCTGCAAACCGATCCCACGGTTTCAGCCCTCTCAGTGTGCGACACTGGGATGTCTGTAGCAGGAGTACTCCCAGACTTCTCTGGCCTCAGCACCCACGCAAAGTGCAAATGAGTGCGAATGCATCACTATGTCCTAGCAGCGCACTGCATCAGAAGCAAGATGCTGCTTCCCGTCGAGAAGGAACCACGCTAGTCTATCCTGGCCCTAGGTTTTGGCAATGCCGACTTGCAACAGAGTTGGCACGTAGACTCGCTGAGGAACAAGAAGCCCAGGTCTCAGACTGAAGGATAAAGCATACTTGGCCGAAAATAGCGCATGCTGAAGCTGTCTGCAGCTCGGTTTCTGTGAACCAGGCGAGCCAGCGTGCATCTCCAAGGCTCGCTGAAGTGGCTGCTCCTTGCGCAACAATGCAGTCCGAAGCACTCTTAGACTGCCAGGAACGTACCTCGGTGATGATCCGGCACTTCGGCCCTGTTACTGTTAAGTCCGATGATATAGTCTCTTTGGAATCTGATGGCCTGACCTCTCTTGAACTTGCAAGCCAAGGTTGACACCAGATTTGCCCAGCTCTTGTCCAACACAGCTGACCAGTCCCGCATGTAGTCCTTCCCCGACTCTGGATCCAACGCGACATCCTGGCACTTGGGGCTCGCAAGAGAAAGGAAAGGCAAGAGTCTTCTCAACCTTACATCTTGCATGACATGCTACTTCTTTGGCGGGACGGCTTGCTGTTCCCGTGATGCCGATCGTGTTAACCAATAGTCATGACAAATCATACTATAAGTGGTGCAATGCTTCGGCCGATGGTGCCTCCCACTCATCCTGCAAAAGCTTCGCCCCAAAGAAGTGCAGGAGCATGGACCCAGCGACAGACATCAAGATCTCAGCACAGGAAGCCCACAAGATCTTGTGCTAGTGCGGACATGAAACTTCGTCTCCACATTGCAGTCCGAACACTTCCCTCTCCTTGCGGCCCGGAGACAATGTACAGCCGCGAGCTATCAGCAATGAGGCTGCGCACCTGCGGCACCCGGAATAAACCACCAACACGCAAAACCTCACAGGCAAATAGCTCTGCTTACCCTGCATCGACTTCTCAGGCGGAGGTAATGTCACATCGCGGCCTTGAACCTGTTTGGCGCCAGGACGTCCGAATGGAAGAAGCGCTCATTTTTCGGGACGAAGCCTGAGCCAAGCTGAATGAACCGGGTTGTCGTGCTCTCCTTGGGCCTGATTGAACTGAACTGTCATCTTCCAAGAGCTCTGCTGTACCCGAACCTCTTTACAAATTCCCCTCAAGTCCGAGCTGCACCCCGGCATATTAACCACCCGTGGCCCATCGAGAGCCCTACACTCACCCCCTTACAATCCGACAACTTCTAACAACCAAGACTTGAACTCGAGACAACATCGGAAGAAGTATAAGTCTCGGTCTTGGAACCGTCTGCATCCACATCCAAATCCTTCTAATTGTGTGAGGCATGGGAGGCCTAGAGCTCCCTGCAGCGACGCCCGCGGCAGAGACGACAGGAACCTTTCGTGAGCACAACGACTGGTCGACACAGAAATTCCCTCGATTCAAGCTGCAGCCACAAAAATCTACAGCGTGCCCATACTGTCAGTTGGCAGCCGTGATGCAAAAACAAGAGCATCTTCTTGTGAGCGTGAAAGACCGGCTGTAAACCAGTCCTCAGCGTGGTTAGACGAAAACTTAAGTGTGCTGAAAAGTGTCTGCAAAGAAATGCTTCAGCTTCCGGCGTCATGCTAAACGTGAATAGGACCGGAATTGAGAAATGAAGTGTGTTGTGTGTGCGTGTGTAGGTCAATACATTTATTTTGCTATTGACCAAGACCACTCAATGTATACTACTGTATGCATATTCTACGAAGTCAAACCAAAAAAGCTTGCGTCCACCCATCCATCCATTGATTCATTCATCCACCCGCACACCCATCCATCCATCCATCCATTCATCTTTATGCACATGCAGAAAAAGTTATGACAGCAGCACCGGCACCTTTTTCTGCATTTACACAAGTGAGCACACGTGTACACATCAAGCACCATATTGCATGCATGCATGCATCCATACCTCTACGTGCCTACATACCTACATACCTACATAGATACATACATACATCCATCCATCCATCCATCCCTGCATGCATGCATGCATGCATGCATACATACGTACGTACATACAGACATACACATGTAACGTACATGCACAACTAGATGCTGTAACATGACTGCGCTGCTGCTGGTACTGTAGCACCTCGTAACCGAGACCTTCGCTGTTTGAACCCCAGCTGCTTGCCGGTGCCAGGGCTGCTTCCGAAGTGCTCCGGCCAATGGCAAACCAGAATAGCCAGAGAAATCCCACAGAAGCGGCAGACGAGGCCGATTGCGAGCATGGGAAGCACCCGCGTGGCTTGCCCGAAGACTGTGACATCCTAGGCTAACCAATTCGTCTCCTGCTTCTCTTTGCAAGTTTTGGCCACTGGTCACAGCTCACTAGCATGGACATGTCTGCGCATGCTGGACAGGTACCCAGGGGGCTTACGGATGTTGCTCTGTCGGGCAGCAATCTTGCTGCCGATCATGCTGAAAAGGAAGATCTGACCAAAAACCTGACAAGAGTGGAGGGCAGCACACATCTTGTGCTCTGCATTGCGGGAGCAACAGCAACCTCAGCCACCCTCGTCACCTTGCCTCAGCTTCAGCTAGTCGCAAAAGCTGCTGCCAGGCAGCCCAGACTCCACCAACCACAGCAGCCAAGTTGGTGGAGTCTGCGTGATGCCCGGTCTGGTTGGCTTGACTGAAGGAGCAGCCCAGCCTGAGATGGCAAAGCTGAAAGGCAGCTCTGTGAGCCGAGGTCGGCAGCCGAGCCAGCCGCTGAGCCGAGCTGCACAATCACCAGCAGCTCTGGCTGGAAGAGCGAGCCCGGTGCGAAGCCCATCGGCACCAGCGGAGTGCCGCCCGTCTCCTGGAGAAGGCGCGCACAAAGGCACTGTATACCTTAACAGACTTATACATTGCAGAAAGCAAAACACGCAAGAACACGCGGTCCTTCGGAAGGCCGAGCCCAAAGCCCGCCAGCGCCACGGCCAGGATGAAGAGATACGTCTCCTGCGGAGAGCCGGGCCGTGGCTCTGCCGGGGGTGAGGGGGGGCGACTCACGTGCGCTTAAGAGCTGGAGTGGCCTCGATCCTGCAAGTGAAGCCAAAGGACCTGGCAGTGCTGCACACAAGCCATGGCGCTCGCGCTCGCATGCGCGCGCGCACGCGTGGGCCGCCAGGTTGTTTGCAGGATTGCACCGAGCACAAGGTACGACATTGCATGATCGAGCCTTCCTGTTGCTTTGCTGTGGGCTCCATACAAGCAGCACTGCCGACTGGGCAAGGCACGCATTTCGTTTCTGCACCACCTGGCCCGTGACTTTACCTGCCAAAAGGGAAGGGCTTTGAGTCTTTGAGTGCTTTCGGCCTTTGCACCTTCAGCAACGCTCGGCATCGCCCCGATTCGGCCTAAGGCGAAGCCCGTGACGACGGTCGCGATCAAGCGAACAACATTGGCACCGATAATTGTAGCCTCGGACAGCTTTCCGAATCCGCATTCTGGCTGTCCCAAAGTGCTGATAAGTTATGCCATGCATTAGGCAGGCACTCCTGGCATCTCAGTCCGTGGCGGGGTCCGCCGAATTCGACTTTGACACTTCGGCAAAGCCCGACAGCAGCCCGAAAAGTGTCAGCACAAAAGATGCCTTGGCTGGTGTTGGCTCATGGCACGGAAAAATTCGGAAGAAAAGCCAGCATGACTTCCAATGTCGGCCTCCAGCGGAGCGGTCGTAAGGACGAGTCGGGTGAGCTCTTTTCCTAACGACAGGATAACCAGCTGTTCAAGGATGGCAAGACGCCTTGCCATGTAGTGCCACTGCCCTTGCCCGAGTACCTGAGGATATCTGATCCTCCATCTCGATCATCTTCGGGATGACAATGCCATCTGCTAAGCCGCAGAGGACAGCTCCTGTCACGCTAGGTCTAAGCATGAAACCCATGTGCACACCAGGAAGCCCGCTACCGATCTCGTGCCTGTCACACAGGCTTCGATGCAAGACAGCTCCTGCATTCTCAAGGCGCAGCTGAGACACGGCCAGGAATGCCAGCATTCTTTGCCGTGAGAGTTTAGCAGCTATTGCCTGGACCCTGCAATGTCCACGCCTCCATGAAGCACGCCCAGATGGAGATGCCCACCTCAACTTCGGATTGTCTGGGCATGCTCTAGACAGCCATTGCAGCCGGTGCTGAGATTGATCTTGCCATATCTCAGGCCGCTCACGAACTCACAGAAGCAGGGGACAATGCCCAGGATCACCTCCAGCTTCAGAGTCGAGGCTCTCTGATGACAAGTCGAAGTTTGATCGATTCTTGTAGCTCACGCCTCACAACCGGAACCAGTTTGAGAGAAGAAACATGCTTGCACGTCCCAGCTGGTCCAACTCGATTTGGGACCTATTGTGCAAGACTTTATGCAACTTGGCCACATGACGAATTGTTGGAGTATTGTGACTGATCTCGAAGCCAGCGGTGAGGAGAACCAAGAAGAATGCGCATTCCTCGTAGAAGAACATTGTCCAAAGCAAGAGTATGTCAGGCACCGCATCATGACCCCGGACTGCTGGGCATGAACGCATGTGATGCATGTCAGTGTATGTCTTCGTGTCCTTAGCCCCAGGCCTGGAAGTGGTCGCGTCCTTCGAGGATTTCCTTGGGCTCACAAGGTGAGCGAATTGAGTTCATTCGGCATGATGCTCCATGCTTTTCAACGACGCGCTCCAACTCTAACCCGCACAAGGTGAGCGATGCAGTTCTCCCGATGCTGCCATGCTTCTGTCTGCATCAGGCCGAGCTTGCCACAGAGCCAGCCACTGAGCAGGACGCCCACTGGGCCGGGCAAGTTGTAGGACACGAAAAAAGCCCTGCCAAATCACGGACACATTTGCATTGGCACTGCACAGGGAATGTTTTTGCATTCAGTTGTGCCCATCGTAAGAGACACGGCCTGCGACCAGCGGCAATCATACCGCGCACACACACACACACAGACTCCAACTCGGCACGAAAGACTGCGATGGACGACCGACAGGACGACAGACAGACAGACTGGAAAGTCGGCTTCAGATTGTGGCAACCGTGCATCCAGCACCTCATTACGCAAACAATGCACAGCAACTGCAATGCACTGGATCACAAACGGCAGGTACACAGCGGTGATCAGCCACTGCATCCACTCCGGTGACTTGGCTTCGTTGGGCAACGCTTGTCACTGGAGCCAAACTTCGGTCTCACTAGGTGGTCGCCATGTACAAACGGGCACACACATGCCCTGTGACATGGCTGCATCGTTCAATCGCAGCATTTAACGCTACTGATGATGAAGGACTTCTGAGAAGGCCCCGGCTAGCTCTCTTAGTTGCTGCAGGCTGCTGAATGGCGTTCAACAGCAAAACGAATTAAGCCAGATCTTCCCTACACGGAGTGACTTCGCTTGCGCTTCCGAGGCCGTGCTTGATTGGCTTTTCTCTCGGAGGGGAGTTGCCGGCCATGTTCATTGCTGCGGGCCGCTTCCAACCAGTCCCCTTGTTTCGAAGGAAACTTAGCAAGTGGCAGTGCGGGAGGAGGCGGGCCAGGTGGAGGCGGAGGTGTCGGCAGGAAAGGTTGCACACCTCCCATTGCATTTGGCAACATGCGTGCACTTTGTGTCGTCAGCGTGCGACTGCGATCCATGGTGTGAGACCGAGGCCCGAGGGAGCGCTACCTAGGCAAACTACAGTGTCCCACCGCAAACGGCTGCGGAACAAACAGAAAAGGTTCAAGAAAGCCACGAACGCGGCCTGCGCCATACAACCACAGTAGCATCGCCGCGGTCCGTCATTTGTGCGTCGCCCTTGGACGGCGCTCTTTTCACAAAGGCAAAGGCACGACGAAACCCTTAATTTGCGCATGGCCGGTGCGGATTTCACCCAAAACGAGGATGCCCTGGATCGCACGCCTGCTCGGCGGTGTGCAAACCGAGTTCGCCAAGGGCCGTTTGGCCATAGAAACAGGTGGAAGGAAACTCCCCTTCCTAAGTGGATCCTGATCCAGGCACGGTCGGCGGCCTGACCAACATGACGCGAAAAGAAAAGTGTCGGTGCCATGAACCCATGTGTACCTGTGGCAATGACCCGGTGCGTGGCCATCAAAGGCCCCGAAAGTGCGACACTTTGAGAAGAAAAGGGGAAGTAAAGGCATCGCCAGGTGCTCTGAAAGGATGTAATGGCTTGGAGCTGAAGGGTCCCTGAAGGATCCCTGATGCGATGCCCGCAGCGAGGCTGAGGTACGCTAGCTCTTTCGCTAGCGTTGTTGACAACGTTGGTTCGGCTGCGGCAATGCTGCTGCAAGCGAATCACATTGGTCCAGGTCTACAGCCAGGGGTTTGACTTGCATGAGGGTATAACTCCGCCGCAATTTTACTCCTGTCTGCGGCATGTGCTGCCTCAACAGCGATGCGTGGTTGTATGTACGCTGTCTTCCCCGGAGAGTAGGGGCCAGCACTTGGATCATTCTGCCTACGATCACTGCGAGCTTTAGGAGGCTGCGGGGGCAATCTTCGGAGTCGGTTCGAAAGTTCCCAGCAGAGGAGGGCCTAGCCTAGAACCACCACCTAAAACCAAACCTAAACAATGCAGCAGGGGTGGGATAGGCAAAGCGTGTACCGGGGTTGCTGTGTCTCCCGGCCAAAACACTAAAACAGTAGGTGCACGACTGTGGCTCCGGCTGCGCTGTTCTCCGAGACGTTGGTGCGTCTGCTGCGTTCTTGGTGGCGACGACCACGTCGCGGTCCAATACCCCTCCTGGATCGTAAGCGCGCAGCTCTGGCTTGCTTTTTGCGCCCATGTGCATGGGAAGTGCGTCGGGAGGACGGGCGCCTCGATCGCCGACTGCGATCTTTGTCGGGGGTGTCCTGCATGGCGGTGTGCAGCCCTTGAATACTGGGCTCCAGTTCTGTTGCGCGCGCGCAATCGGCGCTGCAGCTCCTTTATTTGAGTCGAGCAATGTGATTCCTCATCCCTGAGGCAGTCACGCCTGCTGGGGCAGGCAAAGCTGACCACCAGCGGCATGAAAGAGATGCACAGGAAGATACGGAGTTGCCGGCTTCAGGGGCTCGCCACATGGGCCGAGGCATTCTCCTGTTCGGGAGTCGTACATCATCCTAAACGCCATGGAAAAAGCAGACTCGAACAGTCTTTCTGTGTCACATTGACATAAGCATTGCCACCAAGTCAACAATGGAAGGAGAAGCTAGAACATTACGAACGGAACCAGGCAACAAGAAACGAAAAACAACCCAACAAGTCGCGGAGAGCTCACCTGCCCTTGCAAAACTGTTCATGCACTCGCACAGCATCCCGCACTGCCTGAACCCTGCCTGCTGAAGGAAACCTCACACTACTCTCGGACATTGGCACGTTCAGCACTGCTCCCTGCGTTTGCAGAGTTGATGATCCCGATGAAGCTCACTTGGAGCACATGTCACCCTACTGCAATGATCCCGATGGATGATGGTTTTCAAATTGGTAGCGTAGGCGTTATCATCCTGGCCCCATGTCGGAACAACACACATTTCAGCTCGGAACGAATGACTGCGATGGACGACCGACAGGACGACAGACAGACAGACTGGAAAGTCGGCTTCAGATTGTGGCACCCGTGCATTCAGCACCTCATTACGCAAACAATGCACAGCAACTGCAATGCACTGGATCACAAACAGCAGGTACACAGTGGTGATCAGCCACTGCATCCACTCCGGTGACTCGGCTTCATTGGGCAACGCTTGTCACTGGAGCCCTTGCCCCACTGCAGCAAAAATTCGGTCCCAGTCGGTGGTCGCCATGTACAGGCGTGCACACACACATACACACAGAGACACGCACACACACACACACACAAAGACTGACAGACAGAGCCTTTCAGTCTTCCCCCGATCTCCTCCACCACACCATCCCCACTCCGTCGCGCACTCCCAACAACTGCCAACCCAACCCTAAATCCCAAACCCCAAACTCCAAACCCTAAACCCTAAACCCTAAACTGTAAAACCTAAACCCCAAACCCTAAACCCCAAACGCTTTTGCCTGAACCCCAAACCCTAATTCCTTCCTTTCCCTGG